AATTTTCGTTGTATTGATAATTTTAAACGTTGTAATGGTATGTATATAAATAGAATTTTGTTAGAGAAAAATTCTTATTCTAAAAAAAAACAAACAAACAAATAGGATATGATGATTGTAATGATGGTAATGCAACTGATGAAGTTGGTTGTCCATCTCGTGTTTGTAATCGAACAAATAGTATGAAATGTCCAAATAATAATATTTGTATTCAAAAAACGTATTTATGTGGTATGTAAAACATATAGAAGATTAATTTTGTTTCTAATCAAATTTCTTTGGTTTTCAAATAGATGGTGATAATGATTGTGGTGATAATAGTGATGAAAGTCCGATCTTTTGTCATAGTGTTGAATGCAATACTAGTATCTGTAAATATGTGAAAATTTTATTGATATAAATTTATTTATTTTTGTAAATCTAGCTGAATTTCGATGTGGAAATGGTCGTTGTATACCATATTCTTGGGTATGTGATGGTCAACGAGATTGTATAAATGGCACTGATGAACCAGCTGATTGTCGTTCATCAAATCGAACATGTCCAGTTGGTCTCTGGAAATGTGACAATGGTCGGTGTATTAGTCCACAACAGCGATGTAATGGTATTGATGATTGTCGGTAAATAGAACTTACTTGATATTATTCTCAAAACGAATTCTTGATTTCTTTGCTCTCTCTATATAGAGATGGTAGTGATGAAGATGAACGACATAATTGTGGTTTGTATCATATTAAATAATTCTTACTAAAGAAACATGGTTAATTTTGTTTTCTTCGTAGCTGAAATGCCTTGTAGTTCAACACAATTTCGTTGTCCATCAGGTTTAAAATATAATTCACGTTTAAGATGTCTTGATCTGTCAGCTGTTTGTAATGGATTTGCAAATTGTATGCGTGGAGAAGATGAAGCGAATTGTACAAGACGTAATTGTTCATCATATCAGTATGTAGAAATTTTATATAGATAAACAAATACTTAGTAATGTTCTATCTATTTAGATTTCAATGTGCTAATGGTCTTTGTGTACCAAGTTCATATTTTTGTGGTAGGTGATATTCTATTCAAATGATTCTTCAGTATAATTTACTTTTTTTTTTCTATATATAGATCATGATAATGATTGTGGTTGGTTTATTTGAACTGCTTTTAGCTTGCTTTTAATTAAAAGTCTATTTTTTTTTAAGGAGATGGATCAGATGAACCTGCTTCATGTGGTAAGAATTTATTTAATTCTGTTTAATTTCTATTTTTTTTTTTTTTAATAGTAACACAATATCGAAATTGTACCAATACAGAATATCGATGTGAAAATGGACGATGTGTATCTAAATCAGCGACATGTAATGGATAGTATGTAAAATTTGTAGTTTTGCTTTTAATACGAATATATTTGTTAAATATGTATTATTCTGTTTTTAGTAATGATTGTCATGATAATTCCGATGAAAAACCATCATTATGTCGAGTTGAACAATGTCCATCTGGACAATTTCAATGCCAAAATAAGGAATGTATACCATATGAAGTTGTTTGTAATGGGGTAAGAAATTGTACAGATGGAAGTGATGAACCAGCTAGTTGTGGTAAGAATTTAAAAGAAAAAATTCTTCTTGTATTTTGTTTCCATTTTGATAATTTTAATTATGTTTTATTTCCTTTAAAATATAGGTGTTAATGAATGCGCTTCATCAATTCTAAGTGGTTGTGAGCATGGTTGTGTTAATACATTAACTTCTTTTCGATGTATATGTCGATCGGGTTATAAATTAGCATCGAATCAAAGAAATTGTTGGGGTAAGACTTTTATATATATCAAAAATCGTTTAATCGATTTTTGTTTTGAAATAAATTTCCGATGTTTTATCTTGAAAAAATTTCCTTACTTTTTATTGAGCAAAAAATGGATTAAATAGAACAGAATACAGATCCTATCGGATTAAGCTTATATTGAGTTTACAATGACGCTTTGATAAGACTAGCAAAAGTTTAAATGAGTTCATTATTAATAGACTTTTATAGATGACTTAGATTTGTTTTAATAAATTTTTGATCTGCTTTCGTTTATATATCGGAAAAATGAAACACAGTCTTGACCTAAACGTTTATCTAGTGATAGGTTTACTGATTAGTAGGAGATTCGGAATGTCTTGCTTTATCGAGATATTGAATTTTCAAGTTAAGTTGATATTTGTATGATGCTTGTGACGAATTATAGGTTTTTTTTTTTGGTAATTCAATATTTCAAGAAAAGAACATTGATTTCGGATGAAACCTTCAACAGATCTTACGGATCATTTAGGATTTTTCTTGCTTTACCATCAGCTCATTGTGAGTTCAAATAGTGCGCAACAGTTCAGACGGGTAACTTATTAGTTAGTAAAAATTCAATATTTACTCAACCTATCGGAAGGTTTCAGATACACGGATTCAAAATTTGAGTAAGAATAGAAGCAGTTAGTAAATAGTGTTCATTTGACTTGAATTGGAGCTTGACTGTTCAATTGATATCAATATAATTTAATTGAGAACGAAAGAAAGTCTATATGAACATGTTTATTCCCGTCGATTCTCGGTATCCTTTAATGATTAAATAAAGTTCTATTCGTTAGACACTTTTACATAAAATGAGATAACATCTCATTGAATATGTACAAAATAAACACCAATCAACCCATAGCCATTTCGAATTTTCATTTATTTCCTTTAACAACTTGTCAAAATCAGTGAAATTCGTTTATAAAATATATTTTTTCTGTATGACATTCATCAATATTTTTTTCATCCAAAAACAAATGTAGATTTACAGTGTGTATAGATATTATCCTCAGTAAAAATAACTAAGCTTTTCTAAAATTGAAATTTTCTATTTTAATTAATATCTTTAGATATAAATGAATGTGTTGAAATACCAAGTGTTTGTCAACAATTTTGTGAAAATACACCGGGTATAATATATATTTCATATTATATATCTTCGTAGACTCGTTTTTTTTTGTTATTAGGTTCCTATATATGTAAATGTGCACCTGGCTATGAAAAAGGTCTTGATGGACGTAATTGTAATCGATTAAATAGTATGTTCTTGTTTCTTTTAATATTGAGACAAAAAAAAAACATTGATCTCTATTCTAATTAGGAACTATTGTCCCATATGTATATTATACAAACAAATATTATGTTCGTGCTATTGGTCTTGATGAACAAAACGAATTAACTGTTTCACGTGGTTTGATGGAATTATCAGGTATAACATATGATTGGAAAGATCAAAAATTATATATTGGTGATCGAGTGGCTGGTAAAATCTATCGAATGAATTTTAATGGAACACAATCAACAGCTATCATAGAAAATAATCAAATAGGTTCTCTACGTGCATTGTCTCTTGATTGGATTGGACGAAAATTATATCAATTATTGACTACACCTGAAATTCGTGTTAGTGAATTGGATGGTCGTTATAGTATAACATTACTCGATTCAAGATATTTATCACAACCAAATTATCTTGCTATTGATCCATTAGTTGGTTATTTGTTTTATTCAGATTGGGGACAAGCACATATTGGTAGAATTAATTTAGATGGAAATAATTTTGTGAAAATTATTGGTACAGATGTAGCTGGACCATTAGGTTTAACAATTGATATTGTTACTCGAAGAATATTTTGGATTGATAGACGTTTACAAAGATTAGAGTATGTGAAGATTTTGAACAACAAAAAAAAAAAGACAAGTTCTTAAAATTTTCACAGTATAGAAAACCCCATCATATATTTATTACTATTAAAGATAGTTGCATTTCTGTGCAAGGTCGAGACTATGTATATTATTTAGATTTAAATGAGTTTTGGCACTTATTCCTATGTAGATATTGGAAATTTACTGTATGTTTTAAATGCTTCCATCAGAAATACCACGGCAATAGTTTTTCAAATTTCAAATTGAAATTTCATAGAAAGAACGGTTTTTTTATGGTTTTCTTCTCTCGTGAAATCACAGTATCGAATCTGATGTTACATTTGAACGGTGTAACAGACACGCTTTTACCAAAGTTGTATTTTAAGGAACTCACGATTATCATGTTACGGTGATGACTAGGTTTTAGTTGTGTTCATCAAAGTAGCTACACGTTCCGAAATTCCCATAATTGATTATATGTTTCACGACACAAAATCAGCTCGTATAGTTTGATATAGACTCAGTATTTTTCATCAGTTGCATACATGATAAGTGATGTACCTATATCATCACAATATATATTTTGAACAATAATAATGTCAAACTTCAGATGTATAAGTCTTCTTATTTTGTTTCAAGAGATTGATTGTAGAAATATTTCTTTTAAAAATCTTCACTTGATTAATTCAATACTTTATTCTATATAGATTCAGTAATTATAATGGTGGTGAACGTAAAATAGCATTTTCTGGTCATGATTATGTTCCATATTCACTTAGTGTTGGTTTTATTGATGGTTATGTTATATGGTCTGATTTTACAAATCATTCATTAATTCGTGCTGATGCATTGAATGGTTCAAATAAACGTATACTTCTACCGAATACAATAAATGAAGTTGTAGCTCTTACTATTGTTCATCCATCATTACAACCGCAAGGTAAAAAAAAGACAAAAAAAAAAAAAGAAATACTCATGAAATACCCGATTTTGTTTTCTCTTTCATTTAATTTAAAGTTCCTAACCCATGTGGAATAAACAATGGTGGTTGTTCACATTTATGTTTATTATCAGTAAATCAATCATATACATGTGCATGTCCTGAACATTTTTCATTTATGAATAATGGAAATAATCGAACCTGTGTATCAAATTGTAGTTGTAATCAACATCGTTGTGGTCCACCGAATGAACGATGTATACCATGGCCAGCAAAATGTAATGGAAGTAAGTATAGATCTTTTATTTTATGCAATTAGAGAATTACTTTTGGTTTCTATAGTTAATGATTGTGAAGATGGATCTGATGAACCTAGTACATGTCCACAACGGCGATGTTCATCAACACAATTTCAATGTCGAAATCAAAATTGTACACCTATTTCATATGTTTGTAATGGTAGGAGAAAATTTTTCGTGTTTTTATTTTAATTTTTTGTATATGGTTTTTTTTTCTCCAATAGGAATGGATGATTGTGGTGATAATTCAGGTAGAAATTGATTTTGAAAGAAGAAAAAAAGAATGAAATATGTCTGTGAATGTTTTAGATGAAGAAAATTGTGAATGTCGTTGTATGCCAGGAACATTCCGTTGTAATTCTGGCTCATGTTTATCAATGGTTAGTATAGTTTTCATACCATAAACAAAAGAGTTAACAACTATTAATATATATATTTTTTTTTGTTTCTAGAGATTTCGTTGTGATGGTTATCGACAATGTTCTGATGGTAGTGATGAATTAAATTGTAGTAATCGTTCATGTACTCATTATCAATTTACATGTACTAATGGACAATGTATACCAGCATCGTACGAATGTGATTTAGATAATGATTGTGGTGATAATAGTGATGAAAATGCATATTTTTGTCGTAAGTTATTTTTCATTGATTTACATAATTTAGAAAAACAAAATTATTAAATTTTGTTTTTGAAGGTAATCGACCTTGTCGTGAAGATCAAGTTCGTTGTCCAACTTCGTATAAATGTATTTCACAAACAGCACGTTGTAATGGATACAATGATTGTCGTGATAATAGTGATGAAAATCCAAATCAATGTCCACCATGTCATGATGCAAATCATTTTCAATGTAATAATGGACAATGCATTCCAAGAAGTTTTCAATGGTAATTTACAGAATATTCATTTGTTATATTATGTGTAAAGAGGAAATTTGACTATAGAATATCTTAAGTAAATTTCTTTTGTTTTTTGGGGAATTTTTTTGTTTGCTTGTTGAGAAGAAAAGTTTACAGATATGGTCTGATCCTTTGAACTTTAAATAGAACAAACGGAAGACAGACGGATGCTTTAAATGTATTAAAATTAGGAAACCAATGTATATTTATTTTTTTAAATTTATTATTAGCATTCTTAGCCCTAGGAAATAGACAATTAAACTTTATGACTGTAGATGGTAAATGCGTTTACTACTAAAAAAAAAAGAATTATTCAATGCGAAGTAGGTTGTTGATTCTTGATGGTTTATCATTGAGCCAACGCATCATATCGTTTTACTTTTTATTATACTTACACTTGTCTGTTGCTTTAAAAGATTTTTCAATTTATCGGTCTGCCTAACGATTAATATTTATCCATTGATAATAGATATGTTAATCAGGTTTTCATTTGATATGTTGCAAATGAAAATTAAAGTTGTTATTAAAGTTCTTTATCTTGTTTTAATGATTCACGATGGTTTTCGTTATTATTTTCTTGCTAATTTTCGTATTTTCAGTAGCAGTCATATTGCAATGCTGTTATAATTACCTTTCATCATTTTGAAGAAAATTCTTTTCAGGCTAAATTAACAAGTTTAGCAGAATTTTTTTTAATATTGAAAGCCTTCATATCATCGATTGACGATCAACACTATACTTTTGAGAAAGAACACTTATTCAAAATATTTTACCATCGAAGATGACTAGTGATTAATCATAGATTCCTGTTCACTTTATATTAAAATAATTAGTTGAACAGTTTGTATAGTTCGAGCTAGAATAGAATTTGTCAACGTCTAAAAGCAGTCACATTTGAAATAATCGATCAAACAGAACGCTCTTTATACATAGCAAAAGAGTTTCTGATTTTGCTTCATAGTTAGTTTGAGAAAGACTTGATTTGCTTTCATATTTCGGAAAAAAGTTAGCAAATTTAAAGTATATATTGGTTCTTTCGGATTTTTACTAGTAAAAATAATATAAGTTTTCATGTGCTAAAGAGATATTGAAAGCATCCCTTGCACGTTGATGGTTTTTTTCGTAGAGTTATGAATTCTCTCTTTATATTTTTCATTTTTTTGAAAATATTAATAAAATGACAAATAATCTAGTATAAATAGGTGTTCGAAAAATTTCATTCATTAATTTTTATTGATATTTTATATTTATTCTGTATTAAGTAATCATCGAAATGATTGCCGTGATGGATCAGATGAAAATTCAGCAACGTGCGGTAAGTTATTGCAAAAACAAAAAAAATACTTCTTTTTATTTGTTTATTCGATTTCTTTTTTTCAGTCAGTATTTATCGTCAATGCAGTGAAGATGAATTTCGATGTTTGAATGGTCGATGTATTCCACAACGATGGTTTGCAAAAAAATATTTATTAGAATTCAAAAATTTATATAACTGTTGTTTTTCCTTAATATTAGGGTGTGCGATCATGATAATGATTGTGGTGGAGGTGATACATCGGATGAACCTGTTGATTGTGGTAAATAATTTTTGTGTTCAATGTAGATCTGTTGTTTTTAAAAAATCAAGAGATATTTTAGCTCCTCATCCATGTCAAAATGGATATTTCAAATGTGCATCTGGTCATTGCGTAAGGAATACAAGTCGCTGCGATGGTTATCTTCAATGTCGGGATGGTTCGGACGAAATGGGTTGTTCAACACCTTGTCCAGAAGACCGTTTTACTTGTAACAATACTCTTTGTATCAATAAGAACTGGATTTGTGATGGAGGTAGGACATTTTGTCGATGGTTGTCTTGTCTTATTAAATGATAACAAAAATACTTTTATTTTAGATAATGATTGTCTTGATAATAGGTAATCAATAAAGAAAAGAAACAAGAAAAATATATTAACATATTTTTTGCTTCTTCTTTTGTTTTTTCTATTTAGTGATGAAAACATCGAATTATGTCGTCCATTACCTTGTAATTCAAGCCATCGTTTCCGGTATTAGATTTTCTTTTCCATTTTCTTGTGGATAAAAGCACAATTTTTGTGAAACACGATCCTAACGACTAGTTGAATTATAAGAGTAAAAATTTGACAGTCCTTCGCAAAAAGCCTTCCATAATGTCTAATTATGATTATCGCCTTTCCCAACTGATTTGCCACAATTTAGTTTTGTCGATGTTTAGTCCATTTGTAGTGTTCGTAACACGAACCATGACAAACTAGTGACTATAAGAATAATGAATATAAGGACTAGATAGCTGTTTGCATAGTAGAATAGCTCGTAAGTTTGAATTGCATATAGTTATCTCACAAAATACAAGTCTTGTGTATATTTATATACTCTAAACTTGTATTATTATTTTCATTGATATTGATCGAACGATTAATCAGAATAGAATTTGGAACCGATCAGAATCGGTGTGTTGAATTCGAAAACAATTAAAATGAGATTATTTATCTTCATTGTCAATTAAGAACAAGTGCAAGATATACCTTCATTGTGATATACGAATTACATTTTGTGAAGAATTGAAGATAATCAAATGTATCATCAAATTGATAGAGTAAAACAATCCTCTTTGATTAGCCACAGTAGCTACATCATGTTTTAAGTCGCATGAGTTCGAAATTTTGCGGATTCGAATCCATTGAATTTAAATCATGTTTAGTATTTCAATCTCTCAGATTGGTACTGATGACTTTCTATTTAAAGATGTACAAATGGTCGATGCATCTATCGATGGCGTGTGTGTGATCATATAGATAATTGTGGTGATGGTAGTGATGAAGATATTCATGGTGTATGTCAACCAAATCGACCAGTAATAACATGTCCAGAATTTCATTGTATTCATACAAATCGTTGTATACGATATATAGATTTATGTGATGAAAGTAAATGACAATAAACAAATAGTGTATTCTTATTTATGTATTTTTAATTTAATTATTTAGTCGATGATTGTGGTGATGAATCCGATGAATTATCATGTAATAATACAATGACATGTAATAGTACAAATAATTGTGATCAAAGATGTCACGATTTACCAAATGGACGAGGAATTCTTTGTTCATGTAATACAGGTTTTAAATTGAATAAAGAATCATTTAAATGTGAAGATATAAATGAATGTGAAAATGTTACATTAAATTATTGTTCACAAAAATGTGTCAATACTAAAGGTGGTTTTCGATGTGAGTGTGCAGCTGGTTTTGAACCAAGTGCTGTTAATAGATCAGATTGTCATCCAGCAGGTATTCATTTGTAATTCATTATTAATGAAGTTTTCCGTTAGTCTAATTAAAAGATATTGACTAAGGAAAATTTTATTAGAAAAAATAGTTTTTACCGTCTATCCTGCTTCTTTTTTCTTGGATATTTCTATAGTAAAATTTACCGTTAACTATTAATACTATATAAAATTAATTTCTTTTGAAATCGACCATTTTTGTAAAAAATTTAAAGGGAAATACAAATTCATACGATTATCTTCTGTAAGCACAATATTGAGAAAACGAAATTGTGTATTTTTTTGATCGTATTATATTGAATTCTATTGATTTTTTAGTGTATTCTCTAACGTTGTGTCGTTGAAATTTCCTCAAAAACGAATATTTTTATTTATTATTTCGGTTTTTTTTTCTTTTATTATGCAGAACAAACAATTGATCTTCTCATATCTGAACCAGACGAAATTCGTCGTCTTCGTCAAAATACTATAGAAAATGCATCACATTATGGTGTACTTACTGAAGATCAACATGATGCTAGTTTTATTTCTATTGATACAAATAATCGTGTATTTTATTGGATTGATGAGTCTACATCAGAAATTTATCGTGCACATCATACACCAAATACAGTATCAACAGTATATCCTCAAGCACTTCTAAATGAAGATACAACTCATTTAATAATTCCAAGTAGTATTGATATTGATTGGATTGGACAAAATCTTTATGTAACGGATCTTGTTCATGGTTGTATATGGGTTTTAAAAAATGATGGACGTTATGCAACTAAATTAATAACAAATATTGAATCACCATGGGTTGTTACAGTTAATCCAATACTTGGTATACTTTATTTTATTAATTATGAACATGGACCTGTTGAAAATCCTAATGAACGTATTGTTGCTATTGAATCAGCTTATATGAATGGTGAAAATCGTACAATATTAATTGATACAGATATGGTACATCCAACGGACTTAGTTATTGATTTCTATCAAAATTATCGTGTTTATTGGACAGATGAAAAAAAAGAATCAATTGAATCTATGAATTATGATGGAACAGATCGTATTGTTATAGCACATATTGGAATACATGCACCGCATTCATTGGATATATTTGGAAGTCATTTATATTGGATTAATCGTGAGAATCGTTCATTGTATACAATTGAAAAATTTGGACGTGGAATATCAACACTTGTTATTGATAAATTAGAATTACCTTTATTCGTAAGAATTTATTATCCATTAAAACAAATTCAATCAGGTTTAAACTAATAAAAAATTGATAAATAAGAAAAAAGAAAAAAAAGAAACAATTAATTTTTTTTTGTTTAGTATCAAATCCATGTGCAACAGCTAATTGTTCTCATTTATGTGTTTTAAAACCATTAAATCAATATGAATGTTTATGTCCATTTAATACAACAATTCAAGAAGACAGTCGAACATGTAATGCGCGTATGTATATGATTATTTAAAAGAAAAGTTAAATAGAATGAATACTTTGTTTTTTATTTCTTTAAAGCAATTGTTCCTGAACATCCTCTCGTGGAATGCAATTGTGTACATGGCCAATGTGTTTACCACATTGATGAAAATGCTGGTCATCCAATAAATGGATGTCTTTGTTTCAAAGGTAAATTGAATAAATATGGAAAGTATATTAATAAAAGTTTTATCTTTAAGGTTATTACGGTGAATATTGTGAAATTTCACCTCCGCCACCTCCTCCACCTCCTCCACATTGGTTAAAAATTGTTATTATTGCATTAGTTAGTTTATTATTGATTGGTTTTCTTACGTTTGGTTTAAGTCAATTGAAACGTAAAGGAAAGTAAGTTGTTGACATAAATTGTCAAACCCTAACGGAAGAATTTATTTAAAATGTTCTCATTCGATTGTAATAATTCTTTTTGCCTATAATTATTACATTAAAGACTTGAATTTTGATTAAAGAGAGAATATCTTAAGATGACTAAAAACTTTCGAATCCATATTTTATCCAATGATAAGGAATACATAGATGAGAAGAGGCACTAAAGGAGTCATTTGGACTTAACCATTTGATTGGTATTTTGGCTTTTTAGTGGATTTTCCTTTCTGCGGACTCACTGTTTTTCCAGATCTTAAAACAACAATACGATATTATCGAAAAATTGGGTTCCTAAAGGAACGATCCAATAAAACATCAAAAGGTCAGCCAAATCTTCACATCACTAGAAAATCTTTGGAGCCAGTTTTATTTTGTAGGCCTCCTAACATTGAAAACATAATGTCAGATGCTATAAAAAAATATAAACTGAGAATTTCTCAAAAGATGAAGTTTGCAAAAAATTCATGTAGTATATTCTGTCTCTCAAAAATGATCTACATATTGAAGAAACCTCATGCAAAACATTTGAATGGTTTTCATAAAAGCCTAGTCTAGTTGAGTGCTATACATACGTAAAGTTCGAGATTCAATTTTGAAAATTTACGAAAGAACTCCTTCAGATGTTCAATCGGTTTTCGACCGAAGCAATGTTCATTTAATGAGTACTAGTGAATAATAAAAAATCTTAAACAGTTTGGCTTTTCAACGCTTCGTTCTTCAAAACCATCGAAGTTTGATCAGATTTCTCAGCAAAAGTCTATAGTGCCCTCAGATTATCTAAGTTTCTGCTTCAAGATTTACACAGATAAAATTCTCACTGAGTTCAATTCATGAAACAAGCTGCGGCTTCTTTGACGTCTCTAATCCTCAGAGCTGCAAATATTTGAAAGTCTCTCATATGTAAAAATATATTTTATTCAGATATATTTATATCTCGAGACAGGAAATACTAGCTGTAAAATCAATAGATCTCAATTAGGACTTTATTTGTAGAAATATTAAAATCGATATGTTAATATAGCTTGATAAAGATCACAATTATTTTTTGAAAACTTAATGAAATTTCAATATCTTGATAACAAAGATCCAGTAAATCAAACCATTCTAGACTTCTCAATTACTTACTAGTATTTATCAAATAAATATTATTTTGATCGACAGCTGGTTTGACACTTGAATCAATACTCTCATTAATCGAAATACATAAAAATACATGTATTTTTTTTTTGGTTAGATTACCATCGATTACAACTCCACCATTACCATCGCGTGTTCGAACAGCAATGAACAATGTGCGTAATTTTATTACACGTTCAACAGATAATATAAATACAGTTCGCTTTCGAAATGCTCAATCTACTGCAGTATGAGATCAGTCAATAATTGTAAAAAAAATATAGATTTTTATTTTGTTATTTTTAAGGAATCAGCAGCAGTATTTCCAAATCCAATGTATGCTGCAACATCAACAGCATCTAATCAACCAGCTCAATTGACGACATCATCTGACGAACCTGCTAAATTAAATGTTGGCGTTCGGTCAGCTCCATCAAAGCCGAGTCGGAAAGGTTTCTATTTTTGATCTTTCCTTTTTTTTTTCTATTTTATTATTTTTACATAGGTACTCCTGCGTCTCCTCTTCGCCAACAAGTACATTTTGATCCCCAAAGCAAAGATACTGATCACGATAAAGCTAATTTAGTTGTACGAAGTAGTGGCAGCGATGCATAATAATCATTTTTTGCTTTTTCTACCACGTATATATATATATATATATATATATATATATATCTAATTTATTATATCACAATACAGCTTAAATTTTCATTTTTATT